GTCCTATTGTATCTGAAATCCTGTCTTTTCTAGAGAGCTTTTTAAATGCAAACCTGCAGCATGACTAGTACTACAGCTGCTTTGCCTTTTGGTTCTGCCCCGTGAGCATGACAGACATGTTCATTGCCTCTGCAAGCCTTGTAACCTGCCCCAGTTCCAAGTATGCAGTGGGTCTATGTCACACTATTATGCAGTTTGCAACATGTTGCTCATAAAGCCCATATAAATGCTTGGTCTCCCGAAAGAACCAGAGTTATTGAATGGCCCAGGAAACTGCCATTTTGAAGAACTATGTTTTATTTGCTTTAATCATTGTTTTTTCTTCCACCTTTGAACCAGAAAGAACTATCTAAATGGAGATGCAACATGCTGCCAACAAGCAGAGCCCATCTGAAAAAAGAAATGTGACTAAACTATGTTTTCTAGTGTCTAGAAATCCTTTCCAAGCCCTATTAGATTTTATGTACATGTTGGAGTTCCAATTTGTAGTAAGGAAATAAGAAAGCACCACAGAATTCAGTAAAAGAGCAGTAACATTTTTCCTAGAGCTTCCAAACAGTGCCATCATCTTTACTTCTGTCTATAGCGTCTTATGATGGACAATAAAATTCCAGAAGTATAAAAATATTCTTCATATTCAAACAACAGAACTGTGTTAAAGTGTTACAGAAGGAAAATAAAGATAATACTGAGTTCTTTTTTTACATTTTCATTTAAAGGCTTTTTCATAACTATAGACATAAGAGACAGTGAACCCATTATTTTTTCTGGGATCCTCCAACTTTTTCACCACTGTTTGAACACACCAGCCTCAGGAAGCAGGGGGAAGTGTGCAGGTCCAAGACTGTGTAGTGCAGGCAGCTGCTGAGAATCTCAGAGAGGTTTTTGTTCAAGGCCGAAGCACTGTGGGAGGAGTGCTGAGACTTTGCTGACAGTAATAATCTGCCAGGTCTTCAGCCTGGACACTGCTGATGGTGAGAGTGAAATCTGTTCCAGATCCACTGCCTGTGAAACGATCAGGGACCCCAGTGTACCGATTGGATGCCAAGTAGATCAGTAGTTTAGGAGCCTGTCCTGGTTTCTGCTGGTACCAAACCAGCCAGTTATTACTATTAGCTAAAAGACTCTGACTGGACCTGCAGCTGATGGTGACCTTCTCCCCTGCTGACACAGCCAGCGAGGATGGAGACTGGGACATCACAATATCTGCACAGGCACCTGTAATCAGCAATAAAAATGATGATGCATAATATGAAAAAACCAATACAGTAGCAGTTGAAATTTGTCATTTTATATCTTTGTAATATGGTATTGTCAGAGAAGCATTGAGTAAGACGTATTGAATCATAGCACACATTATGAATTTCTAATATAGAAGAAGTGACTCTAAAAGATGATAATACTTTAGAATTTCTCACCAGAAACCCAGAACAGCAGGGCCATGAGAACCTGGGTTTGAGACACCATGTTGTTCCCTCTGTCTGTCTGATGTTCTCTCTGAAAAGGCCTTATTAATAAATTTTATGTGGTTGTTCTGACCTGGCAGGGCCCATGCAAAGCAGTTAGAAAATTCATAAGGAAATGAATGTGCAGTGTGTGTGAGTACCAGGTGTCCACAACAGGCAAAATTAACATCATTGGAATTGTGAGCAATCACTGAATGCTTTCATCTTACAGTGCTTAAACAGAAATCAATTAGACACTCTAGTATCAGCTTTGTGTCAAAATCCACAACATTTTAAAATCAGTATGTTTTACAGAAATGTTAGGAAAGCTGTCTAAAATTAACATTACTATGGAAATGTTAAAATATGTTCAAAATATCACAAGATAAACTTATAGTAAAAATACAATAAAAGAGAGAAATGGTGGAGAGAGGAAAACAAGAAAGATAGATAGACAATTGAGGTTAATTTTGTTCATTTCCTTCTATATATAACCACACTTATATAGCTAACAATGAAGAATGCCACTGACATTGTAATCTAATTTCTTTATTTAAAAAAAAA